TAATAACAAAAATTCTTGACAGATGTAATTGCTGATTGTCAGCTGTCAAGAATTTATAGAGCCACAGTTTAGACACCTTTAATAGAAACTGAATATGTTAATTTAAGGATTTTTTGTCATCAGTTAAGTAGAAGTCTTCACATGCTACACAGATGTTACAATGTTGTAACATTCTTATTAACCACAAACCTTTCAATCAATTCTTTAAATGCTGTCATGTGATTCAACTTGCCAGCAATCACACAGAAAAAAATATTAGTGCACTTAGTGGTGGGTAGGGTGTGTATAGGTGCATTGCGTTGCAATTCATTAGAATGGCACCCCAATGCACCTCCTGGTGGCCATGCGTTGTAGCTCCCCACCTCCATGCAATAAATGCCACCCCAACGCACCTCTCGGGCGAATGAAACCTCAATGCAATGCACTGTATTGTGAAATTATAGGCGTTCTTATAAGAAGGTTACAGGCAGAAGTGAAGCCACTGCCCTCTCTCTCTGTCTTCACCGCTCTGCCCCCTAAAGGACCTGTCACTGACTGCAGGATATAGTAGCATGCACACAGACCACTGACAAAAATGAATGGAATGGGAGAGGTGCACAGATGGAACACCCACTGCTGATCTGTGCAAGTATCTTTGCAAACTTTACAACTGCCAGTAAACAAAGTGCATTCACAATAGTGGAGGATATGTCAGTGCTTGTTCAGCTGTGTGATCTGTCAGCTGGGTAATTTATCTGCTAGCAGATAGATCACATAAATGAACCAATGCTGACATATCCTCTAGTATTGTGAATTTACTGCGTGCCTCTCTGGAGGGCACAAGCCCCGCCTGGTCTGAGTGAACCAAGGAGGGGATGTGGGGGAGCAATCTCATGGACAGGATCGTGGTGAACAATTTAGTGTCGATGTTCAGAAGAGAGATCAGGCGGTAGCTGGGGCATACCGTTGGGTCTTTATCGGGTTTAGGCATCACTACAATATGGGCCGATAAAGCATCTCTCGGAATGGGGCATCCCTCTCGTACCGAGTTCCAGGCCGCCAGTAAGAGAGCGGACAACAGCAAGGGGAAAGTGTTATAGTACAGGAGAGGGAAGCGCTCAGGACCCGGAGCCCTATCGTTGTTGGAATGTTTTATGGCGGACTCTAGCTCCGTGGCTAAGAAGGGGGTCTCCAGAGAGGCGCGTACCTCGGGGGCTAGACTGGGCATGGCGGATGCCTCCAGGTAGGCACGGATGCGTCGTTGTCGCTTCATCAGGGACTGCGCGGTCCATGGGCCAGGGAGATTGTAGAGGGTAAAGTAATAATCCTGAAAAACGGTAACTATGTCCTCCGATAGGCATTGCCTGCCGAAAGAGGATTTGATTGCCGGAATGTAGGTACGGGAGCGTTGTTGACCAAGTGCCTGCGCCAGGGAGCGGCTACACTGGTTACCGTACTCGTAGAAGTGCCAGCGACATTTGGCTGGAGTAGCTTTGGCCCTGCCCATATATAGAGACCTCAGTGAGTCACGTAAAGTGTGTAACTGAGCTAGTAGAGTTGGGTCCTGACGCCGTTTGTGTAATAGTTCAAGCGCATGAATCTGTGTTAAGAGTGTGGATTGCTGTCCTAGCCATTGTTTCTTGCGTCGGGCTCCCATCCTAATCAGGGTGCCCCTTGTGTAGGTTTTGTGAGCCTCCCATATGGTGTAGGGCGAGCAGTCTGGTGTAGAGTTCAGTTCAAAATAGGAGCGCAAATCGCGTTCGATCTCTGGGGTTAGCCTCGGGTCTTGTATGAGCGTCTCATTCAGTCGCCATCGCCAACAACGTGGCTCCTGAGGGCCAAGCTCCAGTGTGAGCTTAATCGGGGCGTGGTCGGAATATGTGATGTTGCCAATCTCTGTATGTGAAACCAATGGCAGGTTGCTGTGATGCACCAGAAAGAAGTCAATACGTGTGTAGGTGTCATGTACCGGTAATGAAAGGAGTATTACCTAGTGTTAGGGTGGGGTATGCGCCAAACATCTGACAGCTGGTGTGCATGTAAACACTTTTTGAGGCGTCGCAGTGTAGCAAAGGGCAAGTGAGATGTCGGGTTAGTGGAGTCTGTCTCTGGATCTAAGTGTAAATTAAAGTCGCCCCCAACTACTAATACGCCGTCACGGAAGTCATCCATTTGCAACAAGACCCGTTCCAGAAAGGCTACCTTCCGTCCTCCTATCAGGCCTTTCACCATTAGCAGGCGACCCTTCTCCCCTGCGGATACCTCCAATAGTTGCCACGGCACTGAGCGATTGATCAGTATAGTGACTCCTCTCGACTTTTTGTCGGGAGAAAAACTATGGTACGTCACCGGGAAGGGATGGTCTTGGAGCGAGGGAGCCCGCCCTTTGGCAAAGTGAGTCTCTTGCAGGAAGCTCACCTGTATTTTCTGTCGGTGCAGGTCCGTGAGCACCATCCTCTGTTTCTCTGGCATGTTTAGGCCTCTGACATTGAGAGATAGGATCTTGAGGGTAGACATACAGTACCTATGTCTGTGTGGGAGACAAGGAGGATGGAAGTCAGATGGGTACCAGGAGGTGGATAGGGGGGGTTACACGGACAAAGACTGGAGGGGTGGGAATACACGGATAGGAAGGGATAGTTAGGGTACAATCTACAAATACAGATCACTTGTATCTAGAAAACTAACTGGTGAACCGAGGTTCACAGTCCCTGTGGCACTTCAGGCACTGCAGGAACTAACTAGTGGGCAAACGAATCTGAGCAAGGCGGAGCTTAGCAATAAATGCTTAGAAAACAATATACGTGAATAATCCGGTAAGTATGCAACCTATCCCAGTTGGGGAGAGGGGCCAGTGCCGGGGAGTGGGGGGAGAGACAAAGCCACAAAGTCGTTGGGAGCGGACGGTGGGGGAAGGCAGCCCCAGAAGTCCCCTGAATCACATCAGTATCAGACAGAGAGTAAGAGCCCAACTCCCAGGACTGCATACCCACACCGTCCCATCCCGCAACCCCCGTGTCACAGCATCTCGCACTCCGGCGGTGGGCCCCCATCAACATAAGATAGTCATAAACAGACAGTAAAATCACTCATAGCAAAATAAACAAGAAGAAATTAGTAAATAAACCTCCGAGCAAATAGCTCGATAACAACCCAGAGTGCAGGAGCCCTGACACTCTGTTCAATTACACAGAACAGACTGGTAAGTCTCTGCAAACCCGAGTCTCAGCTATCTGCAGTCAAGCTACCAAGCAGGCTGACGGAATCGCGCCAAGACTCGGGATAAATCCGGGAGGGATCAGCGATATAAGGATACTGACGTGAAGCCAGCGAACAGGGTCTGGATAGTCCATAGAAGCTTCCCCATCTACCCAGGGTGTAGAGCTGAGGCCGGGGGTTTCAGCTTTGGTGGGTCATCCAGAGTGTCCGGAACATCAGGCATAGTTCTCAGAAAAGGCCAGTTAGCTGACCGCCACTCCCATAACCGAGCGCAGCTGGGTCGCTCGCAGTTTTAGGTAGAGATTGGCTGAGCCGGAAAGGAAAGAGAATCACATCCATCCATCCATCTCAGGGCTCCGCAGAAACCCGGTGGGATCCACGAGACGCCGGTCGAGCGGAGCAGTAGAGGATGTATGGTGGGCCCGCCCGGTCTTCGGGGACGCCGGTGCTTCGTCCGGAAGGTGGTCAAGCCAGTCCGGGAGATGTACTGGAGGTACTTGGTGCAACTCACAGAGGGATGGCACATCAGTAAGAGAGCGAACCATGAACGAGGAGCCGTCTTTGCGCACATGCAGGTGGATGGGTAACCCCATCTGTTGGAGGAGCCGACCTGCACGATCACCGAAAGGAGAGGGCGCAGCAGGGCCCGGCATCTCAAAGTGTTATGTGAAAGGTCCGGTAGGATTTGCAGGCCCGCTCCGTTGAATTCCACCGGCTTCTTCAGCCAGGCCTGGTGCAAGATGCCCTCCTTCATGGAGTAATATTGGAGTCGGCATACGACATCTCTCAGGCGGGAAACTTCTGGAGATGGAGAGCAAAGACTGCGGTGTACCCTGTCCTGTAAGATGGTCTCGGGGCCGTGTCGGGGAGCAGAGAGCCGAAGACTGCTTGCCCCGTGGAGCGAAGGTCTGAGGGGGTGGTCGCCTCTGGTAGGCCCCGAATCTGCACATTCGGGCATCTGTTGCGATCTTCCAGGTCCTCCATAGTCGGCTGCTTGCAGGATGGGTATTGATCGGCATCTGTGGAGTCTGAATCGTAGATACGAGGTGAGTGGATCCCCGATGGGGTCTCGCTGGTGCGGGAGAAAGAGAGTGAACAGTGCCTATTGGTGAACGTGGGAGGCGAGGTTCTGGCCTCGGCCACGGGTCCTGTTCCGTGTCGAGGTGAAAAAGTGTTGTAAAGACGGGGGCCCTCTCTGCGAGGATGGTGTGCCCTCCTTGCTGCGTTTAGACATCGTCTGGTGTTACAGGATGGGGTGGTATAAATCACTGTAAGTAGTAGGTAGGTAGATAACACCACGGAGCTCTCAGAGCACACAACTTACTCTGCCATGAGCAGGACACGCCCCCCCCCCTGTATATTGACAGTTTTAATAATTGCTCTGTACAATTAGGGGTACAGTCTGAAGAATTGATGTATTTCTGGAAGTAAGTGAAAAAACCCTCTGTAGAAAAAACCTAGCTAGAAGTAAACATAATTAAAACTTAAAAACATAATTTATGAATTTGCCAAGTGTATTTAAACTTGCTTTTGTCTATTTTCTTTACATGTGTGCTGTATGTGAACTTTATATTGCTTGACTTTTTGGACTGTTAGCTCATCAAAATAACTTGGTTTTTCTATTGATTTAATCAGTTTTGTAGATAAACAAACAGTCTTTCATTTGGAGTACATATTTCATCTTGACTAGACAAATAAGAACATTTACATTGTTTGTTTACCTTTTCTTTGTTGTTTGCTCTGCTGCAGGTTTGGAGCCAACAGTCTGTCTTTTCCACTGGGAACATATACAACAAAAACCTGGGGTAATGAAGTCTATCTTGGATGGCCTAGCCGACACCACGTTCAGAACAATTACTACTGACCTTCTCTATATGGGACCAAATGAAGTCCAGTATGAAGACACAAAGGGTGATCTTTCTAAACTGGGCTATTACCCACAGAAACTACCTTTATCCTCATATCAAGAAAAAATTATAGACGGTCAAAGTACCCTACATCTGGATTCTAATAATGCAACTGAATTTTACAACAAGTCATTCACTACCTTTAGAGATGGTGATGGCAGTATACAATGCGGAAACAACTTCATGGACATGGAATGCTTTATGATTCTTACCCCAAGCCAACAGCTAGTCGTTGCTGCTCTTTCCATAACCCTGGGTACATTTACTGTGCTGGAGAACGTGCTTGTGCTGTGTGTCATCTTGCAGTCTCGTACTTTAAGATGCAGACCCTCCTACCATTTTATTGGCAGCTTGGCAGTTGCTGATTTTTTAGGCAGTGTCATTTTTGTTTACAGTTTTGTTGATTTCCATGTTTTCCATCGGATAGACACCCCAAATGTTTTTCTATTCAAACTAGGGGGCGTAACAGCTTCATTTACAGCCTCAGTTGGTAGTCTGTTTCTAACTGCAATAGACAGGTACATCTCCATACACAGGCCAATGTCATATAAAAGAATAGTCACAAGGACAAAAGCTGTCATTGCATTCTGTATGATGTGGACGATAGCTATTGTCATTGCTGTGCTTCCTCTGCTAGGATGGAATTGCAAGAAGCTAAAATCCATATGCTCAGATATTTTCCCACTTATTGATGAGACCTATCTGATGTTTTGGATTGGGGTAACCAGTGTTCTTTTGTTATTTATAGTGTATGCATATATGTATATATTGTGGAAAGCTCACACCCATGCTGTGAGAATGTTGCAACGGGGCACTCAAAAGAGCATCATAGTTCACACATCAGAAGATGGCAAAGTCCACATCACTAGACCGGACCAGGCACGTATGGATATCAGGTTAGCAAAGACTCTGGTCCTTATTTTAGTGGTGTTAATCATTTGTTGGGGTCCTCTCCTTGCCATTATGGTTTATGATGTCTTTGGAAAGATGAACAAGACTGTAAAGACAGTATTTGCCTTCTGCAGCATGCTTTGTTTGCTTAATTCGACTGTGAATCCCATCATCTACGCTCTTCGAAGCCAAGACTTGAGAAATGCATTTTGTAGCATGTTCCCTGCTTGTGAAGGGACTGCGCAACCTCTTGATAACAGCATGGAGTCTGACTGTCAGAACAGACATGCTCATAATAGTAACGTCCACCGAGCAGCTGAAAGCTGCATTAAAAGCACAGTAAAGATCGCCAAAGTGACCATGTCAGTATCCACAGATACATCTGCTGAAGCAGTGTAAGTCAGTCATACTGATGGGAAGAAAAGAAAGTGGAGTCTGTCCCCTCTTAATTTGTTAAGTATAACAAGAGATAAAGAGCAATTAATATCCCTACTATTCATACAAATTTAAGTAGGAAAAAATTGAGATTTCAGTAAAAAAGTTTTACTCTGTTACAATCCTTAGTTTAGAATACAAAAAAGAGCACTAATTTTATTATACAAGAATATTTTGTAATTATATAGTTTCATTTATTTTGAAAAAATTGAACAATTCTGATATAGATTTACATTTTTTAAAGTATTGTTTGTAGTCCTTGAAGTATTCTGTGTTGTCCTTCTGGACCTTTATCTTATGTATTGTGTTTGTCAAGACACACAAATAAAAAAACTGGAAGACTTTTTAATACCTCACATCATTATGATGAAAGTTATGCTTAAAATAGTTCTAGAAATTATAGGTAATCTTCTAGTTTGTAAATTTGCAGAGGAATTTCATCTCCAAGTTTAACACTGAAAGACTGAATATGGTTTGCTTTACTTGCACAGAAATGGGGACTCTAATATGCACCTGAATTGATTGTGGTAAAATGGAATTATATTTTACATTCTGTATAGAACAATAGGCATTGTATTTATATATGGTCCTACTGTTAAATAATAATGTGTATCAAACATAATGTAGGACTGACTTCTCCTTTACAGTCCAGGGATGCCATTTTACAAGTAAATGGAATGGAAATGATGGCTTCGGCAAGCAAGGGCATTGGTGGCCTATCAGCTGTTTGTTGTTAAGACTGACAGTGTATAACGATACTGTTGTGAATTTAATGTACTTAACCATACATAGAAGTAGGTTAAAGTCAGTGATTTAAACTACTGATATCCAATATTTTCTAAACATACAGGATATTACATATAACCAAGTAAAAAAAAGTGATATAAAAACTTTTAGTAAGTTTTAATGTAATGTTACAATTTAATGTATTTCATTTGTGTTAGTTAATGTAATGTGCATGTCTGTTTGTAAATAATGAAGTAGGTCATCCTATTAAAAAATGACCGACAACTATGATTAAGTATAACATAGCTCTTGTTGCACTATTTGCACATGAATTCAGTTTCTAAAATTGAGTTCTACTACAGTATTATTGAATGAATTGACAATTAAAATATACTTTTTTTGTCTATAATGTATTAACAGATATGTCATGAGACTGCAACTACTTTACTGTTTCATTTCACTTAAATCTCAAATAAACTGCAAATTAGTTTTAAAAAACTGCCTTTTATGAAAAGCAATTATTGAATGCTTCACATAAAAAAAGACATGTCAGTATGAAAAACTGCCCTCTGCTGCTGTCAATCACTAGAAGGGACCTGATGGAGAACTGCAGGTCCCCTCTGCTGATTGACAGCAGCAGTGGACGGGTGCAATAGCTAGTTTGCTACTGGCTATTGCAAATTGAAATAGCCAATAGGAATGTAGCTATGCATTCCAATGCTTATTTTTTTTGTTCTGATGGCAGCCAACGGCTCCGATATCAGAAGAAAAAAAGACAACAGAGCAGGGAAAGCTTTACTCTGCTCGACCGGCAGAAAGTACCGTAACTCACTCCCGGGCGGCCCGGGAGAGTTGGGCTTCCTGGAGATCAGTGTCCCTGGTTAAATGGTAACCAGGGACGCTGATCTGCCTGTTCAAGTGGCCGGAGCCAGCCGTGAGATGGCGGCTGGCTCTGCCCAGCAGTCTGCAGCTTCACCTTTCACCTCAGCTCAGTTGAGCCGATGCATATGCCTTCGGCTCGACTGAGCCGCTCAGCCGACTTGGGGAGCTGTACGGGCTATAGTGAATAGCCCGTACAGCAGCCCTTCGGTTCTACTGAACCGAAGGGGTCCAGGGGTCAAAGCTAGCCGAAGCATCAGCCAAAGCTACGGCTAGATCCTTCGGCAGCTTAGTGAATAGACCCCCTTACTTTTTTTGATGTGCAACCTTTTTTTGTGCAGTACAAACATTTTCAATATACCAACAATAAAACATGTTCTATCATTGTAACTTTAAAATGTAAATTGGCTACCAAAGGAAAAGAGTTCGCCAATGTTCCCTTTATACAGGCACTTTTGGTTGTAAAAAAAATGTCAAGCTACACATATAGCTATATAATAAAAAATCAAGCTATTTTGAAAATAGGAAGCACTGTATCTTTAGAAAATATAAAGTATCTGATTTATAAGATGTTTAGGAGCATCATATGTTCAGACTCTATAGCTTTTTGTTCCACTGGTGGCACCATTGGTTTTGGAGCATGATATAATTTTAACCATTCATTATATTGACCTAATTTTTTGTAAACTACTGCTATGAAATAATGAATCACAAGTTATGAACTCCATATTTATAAAATAACCCTTGAAAAGGAAATAGTGTTAAAAACGACACTACACATTTAATTACCCCATATATTTTTGATTAGTAAATAGTATAATTACGTTTTATATTGTACATCAGTGAGTACCAAGGTGCTAGGAAAGTTAGGTTAACTATTTCATATTATAATTATGATACATTCCTCCTTGTTTTCATAATAGAATAAAAAAGTGCCAAAAAATATTTTTTTATGTGCTACTGATACTCCTAAGGACAGTAATGCTGGTATTTTCTTGCATATCTCTAAATTTAGGCATGCAATATCAAATGTTTTATCAGTTTCATATGAACCAAGTCAGTTTAATCTTTAATCCACTCTCTAAGTTGAGTGTTCCTCTTATATGACTGCTTGAAACCCCTTTGTGTAGTTTATAGAACTTCGTTATATAATTATAGAACATAATTATTGTGTTTTTCTTATATTTAAAACATGACAAAACAAGGAGTTTGAACAAATGATGACTACCAAGGAAGGCACACATTAAGGCTAAACAAAAACACAGATTGCAGACATTTTTAAGGGTCATATACTGCAGGTATTCACTTAAACAACGGAGAAACTAGGAAAGTTTGTAGGCGATAAAGTAATCTACTAATACAAGAGGAAAGTGTTTGTTATTACAAATTCTTATTGGAGCTTCACAGTGATGCTAACAGGTTTCTGTACATTGTCTTAGAAGGAAACAGGTTATCTTGATTGTCCTGCTGAAGCTCATGAGCAGTTATGAGTTGCTTCCTTTACATACAACCTAATAATTGGCTAAGCTGTACTGTAGTACCGTTGCTAGTTAAGGTAAGAGTACCTTAACTTGCCTTAACAAGAGTACAGATTTGTTTAAATTATGCCTAATTTTCATTTTCAATTAGTTTTAACCATTAGCCTACTAGAGCTCAGAAAACATAGTGGGAATCATTGAACCCCATGGGCAACTGCGGACTGTGTACAGAAATGTTCAAAGTTCTGGTCAAAAGTCAGTATGATGTATCTTACTGTTTTCAATAACAAAATAAAAAAATTTGAATAAGGATGTAGTATTACATCTGTACATTCTTTTACCAAATATAACGTTTTTTAAAGATTGCTGACAAAATTAGAGAAACCACAAACCATCTGCATTTATGTAACTAACCAGATGTATATTAGTATGCCAAAAATGTTTCCACTGTAGACATCGGAGTTGAAAGGAGTAAAAAGTTCACACAGTTGACATATGTTCACTTCATATACTCATCGATTACTTATCTAGCAAAGTGAATGATTACTTTGCATTGAATGCTAGTGAATTAGGTGAAGCAATGTTTATTTTGAATACCCAATCATGTGTTAAAAAATGTCAATTTTTCAAATCTACTTTCCATATGATTGGGTATTTAAAGTGAACACAGCTTCACCTTGTTTACTAACATTTTATTTGCCAAGTAAACATACGCTTTCTAAAGTTAACATTAACTTTGACGTGAACCGCCTCTGCTCCTTTATTAACTAACCCAACTGTCTTAAAGTGGATGTAAACTGCTTTGTAAATGTTTTGCTTTTGCCCTAAATGTGCAAGTATGCACAGTGTTGTTGGATCATCTGTTCTCAGCTCTGTCACCCGCGACTGACACTTCTAAGTTCTCGGAAGCCCTCTTTAGCCATTAGGTGGCCACTGATGATGTAACTCCTGTGCACATCCTCCCTGGTACCCAGCCCATTCACGACATCTTAGAGATGCAGAGAATAGGCTGAGTGTGTACACTGCATGGCACATGCACTGTACAGTGTACACAGATAATAAAAAATAAGCTGGGGGAGAGAATAGGTTTTTTGGCAGAAGAGACTTTGCAAGTCTCTTCTGCCAAAAAGCCCCCAGCTCCCAGTTATTTTTTATTTATTTCACTTTACTTCCACTTTAATGAGGAACATTTTTACCTGAAACATTCACAAAAACATTTCCCTTTCTCTTGCTAGTCTTCTAGCATGATTACTTAGAGAATAGTTTGAAAACGTAACACATTAATATTTTATGCCTGTAGATTAAGTAGTACAGTTTGTCGCGGTGTCTTCTAGGTATTAAGGCTGCATTAAGTTTTATTGCAAATAAGGATATTAAATTTGCTTAAGACTAGTTGAAACAATATAGAACATTCCTTGGGCTATTTCCAATGTACTCAGTGCAAGAAGAGCTACATTTTGTTATATTCCTACAGAGCATTCAAAAGCACAATACATTAGATGAACGACCATTTAAATAACTAATAAATCATTTTACACATGAGAGATTCTTAGTCATCTAGTGCAGGCATTTGCCAAAGGTAAGTGAATTAATACATATTAAAGAAAATTAAAAAAACTGCTGAAGTGAAAAAAGCAGATGCAACCAAGAGCCATTTTTGAAACTGTATTCTTGTACATGCAACAAAAACTTTTACAGGTTGTTTTATACTATCAAGACTTAAATAAATCACGGGACAATGGGGCTGTCTGGCACTAATACTAGTGCTTGTTCATATGACAAATCATATTGTGTACACGTTTGTGACATTCATTCATTATTCATTTCCATGCCGAGCCTACTGGGGCTAAGTTAGTGTAAAAAACTAAGCTACCTGAATCACAGTTCCAATGTTCTGTATTTAGTGTGTAGTGTGCTAAAGAGAAAATCTGCAGTGTTGTTTTATTTTCATATACAGGGCCTTATGAAACCTCTTGTATATACATTATTAGTCTTTTATTTTTTTCTTATTTTTAAGTAATATTTATATGTCAGCATAAAGGCATTTTAAACA